GCGATGCCAGCTGTGTGATGCTCACCAGCGCCCAGCAAACCTGCCTGGAAAGCAGCCCTGGGGGCCACACTAGGAGGGGGTGATGCCTCACCACTCCAAAACCATCAAAGCCCCCTCCTCTTCCAGCTGGGGCCTTGGCAGCGCATCAGAAATGAGAGGAGAGCCGAGTGCTCTTCCGCTGTTTCCCCCCTCCCCGCCGTGGCTGAGAAGCTGACAACCAGGCGTGCCTTGTTCTGATAACTCAGCAAAGTTTGGGGTTTGTGTGGACAAACAACCCGTGCCCTCCAGCATCTCCACCAGCAGGGCTTGAAGGGCAGGACGGAGCGGGCAGTGCAGGGAAAAGCAGGGACAGGGACGTGGTTGGGAAGATCTGACTTCAGATCACTGATAAACTTCAACCGTGAGCCAAAAAGTACTTTAAACACACCCCCCACCCCGATGTCCTACATGCTGGGTTTTAGGGCATGAAAGATTTGGCTCAGCTCAGTGGGCTGTGTCACAGTGTTCCCCATCAGGACTACAGCTGGGGCACGCTGTGGGATGAGCCCAAGAGATGGACTGTCCGAAATGTGGGCAGCACCAAACATGCTGGTGTAGAGGAGTGATATCAGTGTGTGCTGGGAGCCTTCCTCACCACCCCTCGGGGGCATCAGGCTGGGTTTGGTTTCAGCTAGTCAAACTGGTTCTTCACTAGGAACAAACCTCCTGGTGCAAACATCTCCAGGTCTGAATCAAATCCTTCATTTGCTACTAAAAATAATGGCAATGAATGGAGGAATTCACAAATTCTCCCAGGGAAAGGAAATTATGATCCCATTAACCTACATTACAGCCATCACCATTAAGAGATACCATTAACCTGCAGTTCCCACACTGGCTTATCAGAGATACTACAGTCATCCCTGTAATTCTGGAGATGCTACAGCCATCCCTGTAATTGTGTGGTAACTCTTGGCAAACGCTGACTTTTTAATAGGCAGTATTGCAGCCAAGTACTTTGTCGGATTATAAGCCCCAGTCCACGTAGCCTTTCATGAGTGTTTTGGCTGCTCAGGCAAAAGCCTGTTTCAAACCACACTTGGGATGAGAGCTCCAGAACAGGATTGGGTCCCCTCCCATCTCAAATGATAGGATTTTTACTGCCTCACAAGGTCATGAGCAGTCATAATCGATCAATACGGAGGATGACGGGAGTATCAAGAGTTTTAATGACATAACAGCGTGTTTTAGGAGTTGTTGTTTCACTTTCCAAAGTAACATATAGATTTTCAGTGGCTTTTCTTCACACATTTACTGATATTCAGCCACCAAAGTGCTCTTGAGTACCCATATTTGGTGTATGAGTTTAACTGAGTCCTGCTAGTTGGAGAATTGAAATATTATTGTTTTATATATATATATTTACAAACACATGGTCAATATCCTATTTCCTAATCTGTTCTACTTACTTTACACATTTAGGCTCTGATTGCAAACACTGATTCTGTTAAATTTAGTAATCAAATATTCATATATTCAGAAGGTTGAGTTTTCCTCAGCTTTTTACTTTGCACTGTCCTGCCTAACAGCCAAAAATTTTGTTTTGTTTTATTCCTTTGGGGGTTTTTGGGTTTGTTTCTTCCCACAGAGGAAAGAAATGCAGGGAAGTCAGTGTGGTTTTGCAGTAAAGGAGCTGGAGGGGTCTTCAGGACTCATAACTGGACTTACTTTAGGTTCTTTGTTTGGCCACAGACTAAATTCAATTCTTATGCCTCAGTTTCCCACCTGTAAGATGGTGGTAAGGCATTACACTCATGAGTAACATTAAGATATATTCAGTATTTGTCTGCTGTTCTCAGGTTGAAAAGGGATAGTTTCAGAGAAAGCTGATGTTAGAAATGGGCTCTTGGACATCCACAAATCTCTCATGATCTTAATTGTGGTGCCCAGGGGAAGAAACTCTCCCTTTCCTTCCAGAGCAGGTCAAAAAGCAGTTGAAAAGCTCTTGGTAACATCACCAAAGCAAAAGGTCTTGGGGAGCTTCAGGTCTGAAAATCAACCAGACAACATGAGGACAGAGTCCTACAACCTTGGCCTCTGTTGCCACACTTGAAAAAAGGCAATAAATACTGTTTCTGACTAAGTGTGCTCCCTGCAGAGCTGCTAACTATCCTTCCCACTTGCCTAAGGGTTAACTGAGCCCTAAGAATGTGGTTGATATATTATCATAGCCCTGATGAAGTCATCAAAGAGTTCGTAAAAATGTGCAGTTCTCATACCCTTCCGTGAGAGATTTTAGAGGTTTTTTTCCCTACCCTTGCAGGTTGTCTCTTTATAAAAGTAATTTCTCAGAAATGTTCTCAAATGTAAAAATAAGCAAATCCGTATGTTAAAGGCTACAGTAAAGCAGAACCTTTTTTTTTTTTCATAGGTTAAAAAAACCCCCACCAAACAAGCCCAAGTAATAAGATGTATATTTATGTAACGAGAAGTCAGATTTATGAAAAATGCTGTTGTGGCTTGTGATTCCACATGAAATGGTCCAGTCTCGGAATAAAAATCGTTGGATGCTGACATGTAGTGGTGTGCAAACTCCCCTGCCTGAGCTGAGTATATTTCTAACTTTGCTCTAATTATCAATCACTTGATTCATGTCAGACCACTCACATTTAAATCAAGTTTTTGTGCTATTTAGACAGATACTCTGTAAACACAGGGAGAAGAGATGGTTTCTGGAATGATTGGGAATGGCTGCCTGAGTGGCTGTCAGGAGTCCATGTTCTGTATGAACAAATTAAAAGCAGGAGTCTTTCATGCTAAATTTGTATGGCCCTCTGCACAAATTGCCCAATTTATTAAAGTATTTTCTGGTGGCTGGATGTTTTGGGTCACGAGGGTTGATAAGAAGCATTAAATAAAACACTGCAAGTCGAATTTAAGGATAAAATGAAATTCTCTCTGTGTTGGGTTTGATGTTCTTAATATAATCCCTGGTGGACAGTAGTCTGCATTACAAAACCTTCACACATAATTTGGCACAGTTTGGATGATTTGCAATCTCTCCCTCGCTCTCTCTGCAGAGGATGCCCTGAGCAGATCCTGCGTGGAGGCTGAGTGACCTCTCCTCTCTCAGGAGGGTGGTCTCCTCAGGTCACTGTTCAGGTCATTTCTGCAGCAGAGTAAGGAAGCTTTGACTGTTCCTTCTCTTGTGTGGATAAACAGAGGGCTTCCATTTCCAGCACTACCGGTCCCTAACCTTCAGAAGCTCAGCAGTAACCGAGGGGGATGGGGAAGAGATGCCAAAAGAAAGTGCAGAGCAAAGAATGTAAAGAATTTTGCTTATCTGTGACAAGTTTCTAAACGTGTTTGATTATGGTAATAAGGATACCTCATTAACAAAAGATTTTAAAGGCATGTACACCATTGATAATCAACCCTGGCCAAAGTACACTGTACATTTTTAACTTCTCTCCCCCCCCCCATGGGATATGTTTGAAATACAGCAGCACCTTAGTTAAAATGTGGAATTTCACTCGGTGCAGGAGGGTGGGGCTGTGGCAGCCAAGGAAGGAGCCCTATCTACCTAAGATAAAGTCCCCATCACCAAGAGATGACTGTAAAACATGCACAATTCCCAATCCTTAAAACTCTCCCTAATTGCAAATCTCCTCATTGTTTTAACTTATCTCTGCCAGTGCTGTGCTGAATTAGTCCTTTGGAGTCCCTGAATGGCATCAAGGGAAGAGAAGAGGAAAGGAAGGATGGGAATGAGAGCCAATGAGAAACAGAAGAAAGCAAGATAGCCAGAGAAAAGGAAAGGGGATGGGTGTTAAGTGTAATTGCCCTTTGGCTTCCTGTGAAATTGTAAAAGCTTTTTTGAACACCCTTGCTGAACCAGCCACACTGATGTTTTCTGCACCCCTGCTGCATGGGAGGGATCTGGTGCTGATGGGAGGAAAAGGAAAGAAATAGTTCAGCAAGAATTTTCCTCCTCTGTTCAGGCAGTTTCTGGTGTGTGTCTTGCTGGAAACTGGCCCAGTGAATGTCCCCCACCACCAGCCGCTGCACTGATCTCTGTGTTAGATCCCTTGACCATCTCCCCCCCCAGACCCAATTCCCCACTTGTGGGTGGGAGATCCACCACCTCTGTGGTCACCCCCTTTTTAGGCCAGTCTGACACTGTAGCAGGCAGTTTTTTCACCAACAGGCACTCTGTGGGAATTTACTCCAGCTCCACCTGATACCTGGAGTATTCCTATTTTGGCATCCTTATCTCCTAATGAGTTTATAATCTAGAACAGAACAGTACCCCTGCTGTTCTCCTGCCTTCTTATCAAATGATTTCACAATCAGACACATTCAGAGCTGCTTCTGGCCCTTTGTGGGTTCCTCTGTGGGTGCTTTTTTCAGCAGGAATGGACCTGAGCAGAAATTTTGTGTTGTGTCAAACAGGAGAAGAATGAAACCCACCTATGCACGGCGCTCTTGCAGCTTGTTCCAGGTCTAACACTGGAGTGCTGGCTGCCCAGCTCTAAATGTGGATATAACTTAGTATTTCTTCTTCTAGTGCCTTTGGGTTGAAGAAAGCATTTTGACATCCACACACTTCTAATAAACTAAAGCTGTAACGAGGCTTTTTCTATTTGTATTGCTCTTTTGTTGTCTCCTATGCGCATTTACCATTGATTTTTGCCAAACTCCCCTATACTGTAACTGTGCAGTTATAAACTGGTGTTATTGAGGGGAACTGAGGAGGGAAAGGATTGCCATAAAATTACTGGCTGCAAACAAACACTGCAGCTCTATTTGGGTGTTTCTCAGAAACACCTGGAGATTATTGCATACAACCTTCTTGATCAGTAAATCAACCAGCCACTGATTGTTTCCTTAGCCGCATCAGGCACAAATGGAACAGCTGTTTAATTTACCTTTTTTTTTTTAATGGTAGAAAATTCATATCCTGAATCATCGATATCTTTATTTTGCAACATGCTGACATTAATTTTTTTCTTTTCTCTCAGTGTTGCTGTAAAAGACAGGAGGATCTGTCTGCGTGTTCGAGGTGCGGCCTGATGTCATCCTTCAGGGCGGTGCCCGCATGGAAACCAAGCAAAACTCTCTGGAGCTTTCCCAAGTAAGTTGGGACATCCTTTCAAATCCAGGGGTTGGGTGAGGGGGGGACACTTGCTAATGTGAGCAGGAACTGAAGGAGCCAAGGCTTTGCAAGCTCTAGAAACTCTGAAGTAAATGGCTTTGGTTGGCTTGAGACTGTGCAACAGCCAGCTACAACTGAATGCTTTATTGCCGTCTGGAAGTGTTTATTTTCTGAACATAAATTCAAGGGACAGATTCAAGGCATGTCTAGAAATAAAGCATATCATCATGTGAGCTAAGCTGACAAGGACAATTTACTGTACCCTGCATTCGTTCTGGGCCAATCGGAAGAGAAGAGGCTATTAACATCCTGAAATTCCCGCTGTTCGGCTCTCCCTGTCCCTTCACTGAACTCAGGAATGGCATGTATTAACCCCTTGAGGGCCTCCCGTGCACATCCGAAGAAGGGACACTTGTTTAGGCCCGGTAGACATGTGCAGTATGTCCAGCTCTTATTGACAGCAGCAGCAAACTGCTTTAAGAGCCGTGACATGGGCTGCGCTGTCTGGAGGCCCAGCACAGGGTTAACGTCTGTCCTAGAGGCAGTTTTCGGTGCTGTGGATGAGCACTGACTTACTCTGTTTAAATACGAGAGTTCACTGGTCAGCTTGACCTTGAATTCTCTTGCAAAGACAGGAACAAGTTGACATACTGTTCGTGTTTTCAGTGGCTGCAAAGTTCAGGGAATACAATGCAACCGCAGCTCACATGCCGTGAGCATCACTTAGAGAAGAGAAGGGAAAGTTCATTTCCTACTTTTTAAATCCCGCCAGCAAGAAAAGTAACAAAACCAGAAGAGAGTCAGAAGGTAAAACACAAAGGGCACAGCAGCAGATATTGCAGAGGAAAGGTACCATTCACAGTCAGGAATGTGTTATAATAAAATCCACAAGCAAAAGTCCACAGAGGACTGTTTGCATAGCAGCATTACAATATCTACATGTGTAAATAGAGGGAACAGCCTTTAAATCTACGTTACAGCAGCAACTGTTGGGTCTTTTGCCTGCAGACACGCTGCTTGAAGTGCTCCTTCTGACTTAGTGGATGTCCTTGTATAGGACAGCATGATCAGCTCCATTGGAACATTGCAGCTGAGTTTGGGAAACATGTTGCTCTGGCTCCAAATAGGAATATTCTGTGTACAGCAGTGCAGAAGGGCGGTGCACTTAACTGGTCTCCAGCTCCTACTTTTTGTCCTATCCCCTCTCTGCGTGGTGGAGGATACAGATTCAGCACAGCAGCTCATTCCTGTCCCTTGTTCCCAGTGAAAAGCGCATCTCCCCACCTCCTTCTGTGAGGAAAATATAAGCTGGATCCTCATGGAGTGCACGGGGACAGGGAAGCATGAAGAGAAAAGTCCTTATTGACTTTCCTAGGTTTTCTTTTAAATCAAGGCAGGCTCACTTGAAGCCTGGTAAGGCTGAAGGCACAGCACACCCAGGCACTCCTGCAGCTGCAGACCTGGAGAGGCAGGAGCAGGAGTAGGTGCTGGATCCTGGGTCATGGTCAGTCCCTCAGACATCTTCTCTGTTTGTTTATCACTGTGCCTGAGAACACACCGAGTAAGTCCACACATATTAAAAACACACACATTCCCCCCACAGTTTGGTCCCATTTTTCATGTGGGCCTTAGTAATTCCTCTGCATTTTGGCACAGAGTTGTGCAGCAGACTCTCTCTACTATATTGGCACAATGTTCACAGCTGGAATAAAAATATTTGTTCTCCTGCCTCCTCCCAAGTCACTTGGGCTCTCTTCTCCCACTGAGGAGCCTGTGTCATTCATTCCCTGGCAGTACACAGGGCTTAAGTATTGCAACCTTCAGTACTAGACCAGAATAATATAAGAACCACAAAGAATCATTTATCTGGCATGACATATTTTGTGCTCTTGTGTAAGTTTTCCTAAGGGAATTTTGAATGTCCTACTGGGTGACTGTAAAGACACCAAGGACTCAAAGTCATGGGCATCATCTTTATTACAAGCCCTAAAACACTCAGCACAAAGACAAAGCTGGGTGATTTTAACTTTTCTGAAATTAAGAGACTATATTGTGTCACCAAAGTCCTTCCACAGATCCCTTTAAGAGCAGAGTGGTTTGGGGCTGAAAGGATCCTTGTACTGAAATTGATCTTAATCTTCTATTACTATAGAAATGTTTCTGTGCTTTAAAAATACACTCCCCATCTCTTACTTTCAGACTACCCTAATCTCAAATTAGCCTTCTGAGCAAAGGTCAGGAGTGCAAGAGTGCAGGTCTTACTGGTTCAATTAAAGGAAATAACACAAAATCAGACATGCTATTGCAGAAGTCTTTGTCAACAACTTCCTGAATGCTGAGAGGCTGTTCAGGCATAAGCTGTCTATACTGCCGGATAATGCTGTTATTAGAAACACATTAGTGTAAGAAATTAAAAAAAAAAATAAAATAGATATACATGGCTAATAGATACATTCATCTTGTGGCTTTCACAGTAAAAGTCTCAGACTAGTGCTTGTGATTAATTATTAATGTTTGTCATCTTGTTCCTTTTTTTGGTGTGTTTACAACTTAGCCTTGCCTCTCTATTTTTTTTCCAAGCCACTTGCACATAACAAAGCCCAGATAACTACACTAGTAGCTGTCGTGCTATTACTCGCTTTAATAATGTCCTTAATAATGATGAAATGTTAAGTATAATGTACCAATAAATATTTTGGAGTCAGGGAACTGGCAGGTACGTGGGGAAGGCACTTTGTGTTAACAGTTGATATACTGTTGTTGCACTTATGAAAACTGCCTTTAATGCATTTGCGTAAAGATCCTCTTTTTAAAATGATTTTCCTTTCTTCCTTTCCTTTTTTTTTTTTTTTTTTTTGGTTGTGTCCTTGTGCCTGAACATTTGACCCTGGGGGAGTAGGATGGAAAGATTGTTTAAACAGCAGAGAATTGTTTATTTCAATTTTCTCCTTCTTTTTTTCCCCCTTTTCAGTTCTCTTTACAGGTAAATCACTTGCGATATGGGAGAATCTCAGAAAGTTCAGAGGTTTTGGGGCAGGAAACGCCTCCCCTCCCCCCGAAGTTTGGATTCAGAGCTAAATTTATCTGAATGCTGTCATTTCCCTGCTTTTCCTTCTCTACCTCCTTTGCTACATTCCTCTTTCTCCCTCCCCATTCCCAGCCACCCAGATCTTATCCTTTCCTTGACCTGCAGCTCCCCCTCCCTCGCCTTCCACGGCTCTAAAATGTCCGGAGGCCTCGGCTGAAGGTGGTAGTTTGTCCTGGTGTTTTTTTTTTCATTCCTTGGCTGTACTATAGCAAAAAATGCTCTGTAATCCCCTGCCCTCAGAGGTTGTCTCCATCAACAGATGCTAAAAAAAGGTTTGGTGGCCCCTTAAGAGGAGAAGGCAGCAGTGCCCAGCAGAGGAGTCCAGGCTTGCTCACGCCTCGCTGGGTGCAAGTGTCTGCTGGTGATACAGTAAAGGGCTCACGTGGGTGCAAGCAATTTGTTTTAGGTAAAAGGATTCAGAAATAGGTGTGGAAGTTCCTCCAAATTTCCATCCTGCTCCTGCTTTCCATGATACATTCTGCACATTTGCATCACTTATCACTATCTGGAGCTGGTCTCTCCTGGTAGGGAATACACAGAGTTCAACAAGATCCTTTTCTTTTTGTTTTCCCTTTTTCTTTTGTTTTTAAATAATATAGTCTTGCACTGTGGCTATTCTAGTTTTTCACAGAAGTGGCAGGCAGCCAAAGACTGGAGTCATTATTTGCAAACTCTAAAAATAGAGCCAAGATTTATAGGAAGAAAACAGATATGTCTTGTTATAAAACCATGAATAAGGATTGGCACGAACATAACGGTTTATTCTTTTTTGATATTGGTTATTGTAAATTGCACTCTATCTTTCTGGGAGATACACTAGATAGTTACAGTACAGAAACGTTTCCTTTACTCGAAAGTGCTGGAGAACTGCAGTTTATTTGTTGTAAAGACTTGATTATTCAAAGGAAGAGATAAGAGATGAGGTAGCCCCTGGGAATTTTGTGCATTGTTGGGGTGGACAGTTTGTTTTAAAAAAAAATTATTAGTGATCTTCTTCTGCAGGTCACTGCTGATAAAAATTATATTCAGCATGTCTCTTTGCCCAGTGTAAAGGCACCTCATGAATTGCACTTCTGGTTAATACTGCTTGTTATTGTAAACCATGAACATCACATCCCTGATCTAGCTGTTGTTAATAACACTCCCTGCACTATCTCCTTCCTCGTAGGCTCTGGCAGGGCAGCAACGACGGAAAAAAAATAGGGTAAAAAGAAAAAAGGAAAAAAAAAAGGGGGAAGCAGAGGCAAAGAGAGGGAGAGACTTTCACAAAGAGTTAAAAAGGCCTGATGAAATCCTTACAATGTACACCATATGGCTTGACATTTACCAGATTAGTTAAACATTTCTACTGGGGATAAATATTCCTGCACATCGATGTAAAGAAATTGCATGAGACAAGGGCACATACAGCATATTTATGCCATGGAGTAATCTTTTTTTTTCTTTTTTTTTTTTTTTCCCCTCCTCCCTTCCCCTTGGCTAGCAGAATTCAGGTTACTGAATATGTAAGGGCCAAGTGTACTAAACCCAAACAAACCCCGCTCCTGTGCACTCCTGAGCTGCTGTCGATGTGGCTTCCGGCATCGCCCCAAACGCACTCAAAACCCCCAACCCCAAAAAAGTTTTGAATGAGTAATCTCGCTGTAAAAAAAAATACCAAACCCCAACTCTGTGGAGAGGCTGAAACATTAAAGTTTGTCAAAATCTATTTGAGCGCTCGGGTTGCCCGTGGAGCGATGACTGTGATGGCTGCCAAGCTGATTTGAGCGGGTTGATGCAGAGGAGGTGACTGCTGGTGCCCGTGTCTGGTGTAGCCTACACCGCTCCTTGGTGAGCAGCCCTAAAGCCATAGATTTCATCTGATCTTTGCAAAGGCTAACATTTGTCTGCT